GCCGCCACGTAGGATTTACGACTTCTCATTTATAAGTATAGATTGGGTTTTGAATATGAATTTTTTTATTCACATGATTTGATTTTAAATCTTTCAAATGAACAATATCCTTTATTTTCTTTAAAGATCATTATCTATAAAAAAAAAATTTATAATTGTAGATTATTAATAAAAATCCAAAAATCAAACTAAATTTGAATATACGACGAAGAAAAAACAAATTTTAGATGATAACCTGCATTATAACTTTTAATAAAGAATATGTTGCTATTTACATATATGCTTGTATAAATGATATTTTAGTTTTGAAAGGGAGATTGACAACAAAGAGTGGCTTTTTCTTACGGCAACTTACTGTATTTAACAGTCATGTTTCTTAGCACGATTCTCAGGATTTAAAGCATAACAACCAACTTACTGTATTGAGTTTCATCAAGTTCTTCCACTGCCTCATCTTCTTCTACCRTAAGGCTTTGTCATGGAAGGTAGTCTTCGTACCTGGAATAGCAAAAACTCTTGTGATATATCTATGTATCCCAAAAAATATTAGTTAGAGGATTGAACTGACTAAAGCCAAAATAAAAAAACAATAGAAATCTGCCTGAAAGCAAATAAAAAACTACAAAAATCAATAAATCATTCGAATCACACATTCGACAATGATTTTGTCACTGGTCCCTCTGCAGTCTTGGGTCTTGTCCAGGTTCCATATTACAGTTTTTCAGTAGTTTCTTGTCTAGGAAGCAAAGCCTCCATACGACGTCCCCACCATATCTAGCATTTAATTTTCATGCATGGTCACATTGGTCCCTATGGTGAGCTCAAATGGCGATACAGGCCCCGTCGGTATCCTGCCTCTAGTTTGGTATGTAGTTATTGTTGCTGCGCCACGAGCCCTTACTGCTACGTTGGACGACACGGCCCTGCCTCCACCGCTGTTCCCATCGATGGAGATCTCTTCTCCACTATCCTCTTCATGCCGACTCTCTCATCTATACTTTTGTGGCTCTCATGGCACGTGCGATGTTGGCTTCTCTGCATCTGGTGATGAAACAGATAGCTCTACCACCACCATTCACCACCGTCGTGTTGTCGGAGCTCACCTTGAACATCGAATGTGCCATCTCCGCATCTATGCCCAGTCAACATCGTCTTTTCTCCTCTACCGAAGTTTCGGAGAAAAGAGACGAAAGCACGGTGAGGGAGAGAGTGAAATGAATGGTGGTGCGGCAATCGAATCCAAATCTACGGCTATTTCCACCCATGTAACATTGACAAATTTGCAATCGATTGGTGAAGGCTCATCGTCTTCGCCAAATATTTTGAAAATATACGATGCACAATTAGCCAAAAATCAAAGAAGAATCTCCATAACTAATTAAGTCAATATAACTCTCCGGCTAGGACTTGGCTCCATACAATACGCGTAGCACAATGCTACTTTCTAAAACAAAAACATATGATACTCATCAAAAGTGTAGCTATTCCAAAAACCTAAATTCAATACGACAACGTTATAAATGAGAAAATAGATGTTAGATTCAGTTTATGAGATTGGTTAAAAACCCTAACACACAACACCAAAACCTCCAAAAAATGCTGGATTTCATTTAACCTAAAATTGAATAAATCGAAATTGATTTTCAAGATCATAAGTCGATAACTGCAATTATCAACAAAAACAAACGCACAGATCTTGGTTACGATGCCATTAGAAGAGGAGTTTGTTTATAAATAGCCGCTGGTTTTCTTGTGTGAATAAAAAAAACATAAGATCAATACTTTCAATAAAGAGAAGAAAAACAAATTGTTAAAACTGATATGATTCTATGGAGAACAGAATTCACATTAAAAATTAGTTGATTTAAAGAGAAAAAGAACGTACTGGGAGATCTTGCAACACATATATAAAACGATACAAATTGATGAACAAAGCTTTAAACCTAATAGTTGTATAACCTTGTTGAATAATCGAATCTATATACATAACACAAACCAAAAGTACCTGAAAAAACTACAAAAACAAACCCAA